ACATCCATGCTCATCTTCCTCTACTTTCTGTGTGGGACACCTACCACAGCATGGCTTGCCAAGTGGTGCCATGTCTGCACCCGGGATCTGAACCAGGGAACCCCAGGCCGCTGAAGTGGAACATGCACACTTAACCATTGCACCCGGCCAACCACCGGGCCAGCCCCAGCGTAGCCAGTTCTTGCTGAAGGCTGCCTTCCTGCTGTGTCCTCACATGGCAGAGAGAGAAATCTCACTTCTTCCTCTTTTTTATAAGGAGGCCTCACCCCCACGGTCTAATATAACCCTAATTGCCTCCCAAAGGCCCCACCAGCAAATAGCATCGTATTAGGGTTTCAACATATGAATCTCGGGGAGGACACAAACATTCAATGACAAATGGCAAAACCAGAGGGAACGACTAGCAAAGGTACCCCGCGTTACAGAGCAGAGGAGAGAAGGCCGGGAAGCGGCACAGCCAGCCTTACGGTGGAGCGAAAAAGGAGCACGCCCTCCTCTGAAAGCATCTTGCAGAAGTGATACCACAGCCCCGGGCCAGAGCCAGTCATGGGACCAAGCCCTCACATCCCTGGGGCCGGAGAGGAATGTTGTCCTGCACGAAGGGCCATCCAATACTGCGGACAACAAACACAAAACAGTCCAGCAGGCTTTCAATTCACCTCCCCGATTCCAGCAGGCTTCGGCTCCGATGGGGTCTTCCGCCCTTGCTCAGCGGGTGCTTCTAACTGTCCAAAGCCTCGTTATCCAAGGTGTGGTCCAGCTGCATCCCCTGGCAGCTCCCTAGAAATGCAGAATCTCAGCCGCACCCCAGACCTGCTGAATCAGAATCTGCATTTTAACAAGGTCCCCAGGTTTGAGAGGTTCTTTATGGCATGCCGCACCTGGTGGTCTCTCTGCACTGAAAGGAGAGTATACCTTGAGTTTAAGCCCGGGTAGGCTTTGTTTTTTTTTTTTTTTAAAGATTGGCATCTGAGCTAACAACTATTGCCAATCTTTTTTTCTTTCTCCCCAAATCCCCCCAATACATAGTTGTATATTTCATTTGTGGGTCCTTCTGGTTGTGGCATGTGGGATGCCGCCTCAGCGTGGCCTGATGAACAGTGCCATGTCCACACCCAGGATCCGAACCCGGGAAACCCTGGGCCACCGAAGCAGAGTGCGCGAACTTAGCCACTCGGCCATGGGGCTGGCCCCAGCCTGGGTAGGTTTTGCCCAATCCACCTGCACCAGCAGCCTTGAATTAGCGTCAGTTCCTCTCAGAGTCTGCCCTTAATTTGAGTCCATCTTAGTTTCCCACATCAGTTGGAACTTCCTTTTTCTTTTTTTCTGCCTCGTCGTAAAGATTTAGTAAGAAGTTGGGAGGGACTACATTGGGAGTTGCTAGTCAGTTGCCGTTTCTTTGCAATTTCTTGACTCCCAGTCCACGGCAGATGAGGAAGAGGAGCAGGGCCAGCTAGCAGGGCCAGGGCTGGGGGAGCCGAGGGCGGCGCCCAGGATGCAAGCTGTGCAGAGGTTCACGCATGAGCCTGAGAGTGAGTGTCCCCTTAAATTCTGTCCCAAGTGCTTTGCTTGCCTGGCCCTAGTCCCCGCCCTCTGGGCACGGATGTCATTTCAGACAAAATCCCCCAGAGGGCAGCTCCAAGCTGATCCTGCGGGGGACCCTGAGGTGGGTGTAAGTCACACTTCACAGTTTTCCTGATTGGAGACTGGGTATCTGGGCCAGGGGTCTGACTCCCTCACGCCTCAGTCACTGGTGAAACGCAACCTGGGGGTGGGGAGGATGTAAATTCCCAAGGACATCCTAAAAAGTGCCAGGAATGTTGGATGTTGACTGTCTTGAGGGAAATCACAGATAAGGACGGGTGTGGAGCGCAGAGACAGTAAGAAGGGTTCTGGGGCGGCATTCATGATCTGTCTCACCAATGTTTGTTGAGTGAATGAATGAAGGAAGAAATTTATGAGTGAATTGACAATTGAAGAAATGAATGAATGCACTAAAAGTTGAGGATGCTCATAAAAATCCCGCCCTTCAACCAACTCCATCCAAGCTCCCACCCCACTCAGCCTACGGAGCTGACGTTTATTTAGTGCTGAGTGAGTGACAAGCATGGGCATGGATGTTCTTATAGTGAAGTCTACCTTCGCCTCACCGGGACATTTCCCATCACTGGTGGATTCACAGAATGCCCACTGACACGATCCAAATGCTGGTGGACATTACAATCCAAAAGAGAGCAAGGCAGCGTCCTTCGCTTCCCTGGGAGCACTCCCTGAGGGAGAGGAAGGAAATGAGGAATGTAGTCACTGGCTTATGAGCACCGGGGCCGGTGGGATCTTACCCTCCCAGGCCCTCCATCCTGTCTGTTGACTAGGGCTCCCGAAAGCAGCCCAGCATATTGGATCACCATTTAAACCCTGTCACATCTCCCTGCTGACCTTCATTCCACAATGTTTATTCATTTGATGGCTCAGAATAATTGTCTCAGTCCCCAGCTTCGGAGACTGGCAGAGCACAGCAGGACATAATTCCTTCCTTTGCCTGGCTCTCCTGCTGCCAGGGGAGAAGTAGCGTACCATCAATTGTGGGGACAACGTGAGACACTCAAGCACTTTACCACAAACCCCCTTTCACACCAAAACCACGTTTGCTGCCTACACGCTGTTCCATCAAGGGCATCATCATTGTCCTAGTGACCCAGGCTTAAGACCGAGGGCCATCTATTAATTCATTCAAACTCTTACTGAGCACCTGCTTTGGGCCCAGCTTTGTGCTAAGCCCTGATCCTGCCCTTTAGTTGTATGATAGAGGACCAGTACATGAGTGCCTGGGCAGTGCTGAGCATAGACAAAGCTCTAAATAAATGCCTGTTAGATGCACCAATGGATGGATGGAGCCATGGGTAGATGGAAGAATGGATGGATGGGTGGATGGATGGATGGGTAGATGGGTGGATGGATAGATGGATGGGTGGGTGGATGAATAGGATGGTGTAATCTGTTGGTTATGTCTCCTCAGTATCCTGTACACAATTCCTGTGATAAGATAGATAGATGGATGGATGGATAGATGGGTAGATGGGTGGGTGGGTGGATGGATGGATGGATGGGTGGATTAATGGATTGGTAGATGGGTGGATGGGTTAATGGGTGGATGGGTAGTTGGGTGGATAGATGGACGGATGGGTGGATGGGTGGATGGATGGATGGATGGATGGATGGATGAATGGATGGGTAGATGGGTGGATGGATGGGTGGATGGGTGGGTGGATGGGTGGATGAATGGGATGGTAGAATCTGTTGGTTGTGTCTCCTCAGTATCCTGTGTACAACTCCTGTGATTAGATAGATAAATGGATCGATGGATAGAAGGGTGGGTGGATGGATGGGTGGATGGATGGGTAGATGGGCAGACAGATGGGTGGATGAATGGGATGATAGAATGTGTTGGTCATGTCTCCTCAGTATTCTGTACACGTTCCCTGTGATTAATGGGGCTGAACTTGGTCCCTCACACTCTCCACCCCAACCATGTGTCCCAGGCCTAGCTAAGCAGACTATCCTAAACTTCTGGCCACAGAAATTGGTTTTAGGCAAGGACACGTGACACGAACCAGATCAGAGTCCTCTCTGGGCTTTTTGGTGGGCGCCAGCAATAAGCCTCTTTTCCCTGGGTTGTTAAGCTGCTGGGATGTTGGTTTAAGGCTACTGGGGGCTCTTTCACTTGCCACAAACATAGAGCCTGCCTGAAGGATGGGAAGATGAGAAGTGGGAGAAGGGAAAAAGAAAAAGAGGGAAAGAGGAGGAGGAAGACAGACACTTGGAAACATAATTTAAGCCCCCGGTATGGGACGTTAGTTGAATTCTTGGGCTGTCCAGGTACATGAGCCAATGAATTCCCGTTCACTAACTGAAGACACCTCGAGTTGTATTTCTTTACTTGTAACCAAGAGAATCTTGTCAGTGCAGAGTGAAGGAGTGAACTGAGGAGTGAATGCATGATTGAATGAACAAATGAGCTCCATAAATATCCAACGAGTCAGTGTTTTTTCCTCCCTTGAGAGCTAGACCTGCAAATATCAGGATTTAATTAGATGCTCCTGCTTTCCACTGGGGCCTATCTGATTGCTTCTATTACATTGGTGTTGAATCTAACTCTTGAAATGTAAATGAAAAGTGAAAAGGCGAAAACAGCCCACTAAAATTAATGAATTTCTGGGGCAGGCGTTCAACGCTGGCTGCAGAGTCCAGACTCTAGGAGTTATTATAAGAGGAGGACTGAAACTAAGACCAATAAAATTTAAAACTCCCCCAAAGGCTTCTTTCCGACCCTCCCACCTCCGTTCAAGCCAAAGTATTGGAAGCAGGTGGACATGCAAATCTGACCATACATACGTAGCCTCCTCCCATCTTCCAGAACTTTCTCTCCATCCAGAACTTTTCAAGGGCTCCTCAATGACGGACAACAAGCACAGCCTGAGGGTTCATGAAAGGCTTCCCAGGTGAGGTGGTACCTGAGCTGCATCTTGTGGATGGGGAAGGATCCAGGTCCAGAAAGGTGGGAAGGGCTTCATAGACATGGAAACAGCACAAGCAAAGCCACTGAATGGTATGTTCTGGGCAAGTATAGGCAGTGGGAATGGCCAGAGATGAAGCTGGAGAAGCTGCAGAGGCTAGTTCATAAAATTCCTTGTACATCCAGAATTTGTGTGTTTCCTTAATTGTTTAAGTGTAATTTCCAGAATTTGGTGTTTCTCTAATTGTTTACATGGAACATACGTAACAGGAAATCCTGGGCTGCTTTTAAACAATACCAGTCACAGGTCCCCACGGCAGGTCCACTCAGGAGAGAATCTGTTGGAGTGGAGTCCCCGCTCTGACTTTGTATCAAGTGCCCCAGTGATCTGGACTCTCACTAAAGCTTGGAAACTGCTCCTCTAGTTGACGGGAGGGTGTAGCAGGTAAGACTGAGTCTGACTTCAGTAAGAGAAACCGAGCTGCAATTACTTAACCAAATAAAGATTTATTTTCCTCATGCAATAAGGAGCTAGATGGTCCTAGGTTACTGTGGCTGGTCCAGGCAGTCATCGAGAAAACCGGCTCCTTCTAGCTTCCTGCTCCACCGACCTCAACGGACGACTTTCACCTTCCTGGGTCAGCCTGATTCACCCTCCTCCAGGCATCAATCTGTGTGCCAGACAGAAAGAGGAAAGAGAACATGATGCTTTGTGCCAGTGGAATCCATCCCTTTTTATCAGGAAAACCATAGCTTCCTAGAAGCCCCACTCCATAGACTTCTGCTTACATCTCCTTGACCAAAACCTGGTCATAAAGCTTTAAGAGAGGCTAGAAAGTAAGATTTTTGACTGAACACATTATCACCCCAAGCAAAATTTGGATCTGCTAGAAAAGAAGGCAAGATTGGACAAAGGTTGGTAGGAAAGAGGTCGTGTAGGGGGCCCTGGAAGACCTTTCAGCAGGACAGACTTGTGGGTGGATGTCAGTCATCCTCACTGAAGAGCAGAGAATGGGCTGACGATGGACGAGGCAGAAGGGGAGGGACCAGCGGGGGGTTGTCACAGCCCTCCAGCGACAGATGATGACAATGATCTGCGCAAGGCTGTGGCTGTGTGCCTGGACTCGGGGAATATTTAGCAGATGAAATGGACAAGACATGATGGATTGCATGGGGTAAGAATGAGGGAATGGGCAGGATGAAAAAGAGAAAAGGAAGGCATCAAGGATGTCACCAAGGTTTCTGGCTTCAATCCCCAGAAGGATGATGCCATCCATAAAGGAGTTTGCAGCCACAGAGAGAGGAACACGTAGTTTAGAACAAGCTGTATTGTCCGGAAATATGAAATCTTAGCGTCTCAGGTGGGAGTTCAAACTCCAGGGCTGGATGTGATTGTCAAGGAGCATAAAGGAAGAAGGGCGGGGGACTGCAGAGCTTCCGTACCCCACACCGAGGCTGCTCAGGCCTCCAGATGGACGTAGAACCATTTTGAATTTTCCTTGAAACCTTTGGCCTGCAAAGAGTAGAAGCAGAATGGTCCAGCTTCCAAAGCCCCACCTTCTCTTTGGTCCAGGGAGCCGCTAAGTGGCTGCTCCCCGTTTTGGGAAACCGCCTAAGGTCTTGCCCTTCTCCAGACTGAAAAAAACAATTACTCGTAATAGCTAACACTGACTGAGTGCTGACGGAGCAACGTACTAAGCACATACGTCCGCTCGTTCAGTTCACGCAACTGTTCTCTTATCTCCGTTACACAAAGGGGGCAAGCAAGGCTCAGGAAATCAAATGACTTTCCCAAGGACACACAGCTAGTCAAGGTCAACCAGTAGGTGAACTCAAGTCTGACTCCAAGGTTCTAAATCTTAACCACTGTGCCGTACAACTTTCTCACCCTAAGCATTTTCTACCATGAATTCCACTTATTGATGTCCTCGTCTTACCCTCGATTGAACTGCAGCCCTTTGAGAGTAAAGGTTATCTTAGATCTTTTCTTAATAACTGCTGAAAAAAAGAATTAATGCAACCCCAAATTACGGCCCTAGGTTTCAGCGCAGACAGGCTCCGTGAACGTCATGGGTTCTTTCGTACCCCATCGACCCGACCGCACCCTTCGGGATCAGACTTAGTCCATTTTAGTGGAGAGACATTTGGGGAAATTCTGTGATTATCTTGCTTTCAGAGATGAGAAAAGGGGCAAAGGCCAGTTTGTTAATGAATCGCAAGTACAATTATGAGGTACGTGCACCCAGTCATTGCTGCTGATTCGAGCACGAGAATTTTAACTCTTAATGACGATAAATCCACTTTTCCTAAAGAAGGTAAAGCAGTTTAATAGATACAAATGGCTCCTGCTTCTAAAGGGAGTGTTTGGGGGCATTAAAAAGCCCCTGAGACGTGAGTCCCTGCACCACTTGGGCAGGACGGAACAGTGGGAGCAGACCCCATTTCTGATGATCGAAGCAGGCGGAAGGGAGAGGTCTTACAGGAAGACTGAAGTGTAGATTTTGTCTGAGGCTGCCGTGGAGCACATCCCACTTGCTCAGGTGACACCCTGCGACCTGCCTCAACCTGCTGGCTTCCCCCCGTCCTCCAGGATGACCCAGGCAGGTGTCTGGTCCATGAAGAGATACAAACATCACATCTGATACCAAGCACATCAACGCAGAGGAAGGATGTCTGAAGGCCAGAGGTTAAGGGGATTGAGGGGCTGGGCTGCTATTTTCTTTTTTTTCAGCTGCATATCCCAGATATATTTCTTTCCTTTCTTTAGGAGCTGAGTCTCTGTCCCCTTTGCCCATGTGATGAGTCTAGGAAGGGCTGGAAGACAGTCGTACACCGCATGACGACGGTTCGGTCAACGACAGATCGCATATACGATGGTGGTCCCATAAGATTAGGACCTACAGCCTGGGTGTGTAGTGGGCTGTACCATCTTGGTTTGTGCAAGTATGTTCTGATGTTCGCACAACAACAGAATCGCCAAACAATGCATTTCTCGGAATGTATCCTTGTTGTTAAGCAGCGCATGACTGTACACTCTTTCTTTTCTGTCCTGAATTCCTCCAGCTAACTCAGAGACTGACCTCCAGTCTCGTATGAATTAAACTCTGCTTTGCTCTTCAGAATATCCTTGTTACATTAATTTAGGGAGCATAATAAATCTGGAGTGAAATATGTCTGCTGCAAATGCTAATTTGCTCCATGAGAATATCAATTAGATCTCTGAGGCAGAGGAATTATGGCTGCTAAAGATCTCAAAGGTCATTCTTTGCCTGCTCCCAAGTGAGAGAATGAGTGGTTATCCGCTAGAGGGATCTGGGATGGAGAAGTAAAGAGACAAATATTTAATACCAAGGAAGTGCCGGGTGCTGTGTTTGGGACTGAAAACTCAGGAGTTTCAGTTTCCAGAAGCCTATCCAGAGATCATGATAATGATAATAATAATAACAATAACAATGATCGCATCTACGTATTGAGCAATTACCATGTAACAGATCAAACATTAGCTCATTTAATCCTTGCAACAGCTCTTGTCATGGGTACTATTATTCTTCTCATTTATAGGCGAGGAAATTGAGTGGCAGAGAATTTGAATAACTCTCCTGGCTTCTACTTCTGGCCAAACTGGAGAAACAGGGATCCGATTTACTCTGCTTCCTGAGACAACTGGAAAACCAAGCAACAGCCCTCAAGGTATTGGATGCTGGTCAACGAAGGACAGTGATCCCCGAGAGATGAGAAACAAATGAGGTAAGACTCTCACATGTTCCAGCTCACTGCCTGGAGGAAGTTTCCAGTCCACCGTGCAGATGGCGGGACGCCAGCCAAGCCCAGCAGCCTCCTTGAATTGAGGCTACAGAACTAGGAGTCCAAGGAAATCAAGGTGGCTAGAGTTTGCAGAGCAGGGCACCTGAGAGAAGAGAACTTGACAGAGAGAGAACTCTGGGGCCCTGCAAAGGGTCAGTCACAAGTATTCAGTTTACTGACAAGAGCATGTGTCGCTGACGCCGGAGGAAGAACCACTCGAAAGAATTAGAGACAACATTGCTGAGAGCTCACACTGGGCTGGGAATAGTGCCGTTCCCAACAGCCGGAGTGGAAAACGCTCATAATTTGTGGGGCATGTGTTAAAGGCCTAGGAAGGGAACTGCCTCATGAGGGGAGAAAACTAACACTAATTACTAATACAGCAATACAGACTATACAGTAGCAATACAGTAATTAGTAATTACTAATACAGACTAATACTGCACTGATCACGTCAAACGAAACTTACAAGAAAGCCCTGAAGGGGCCACATTGCATCCAGATAACTGGACCACATGCTGAAAAACAGCTCAAAAATATATTTTAGAAATGTTTACCTATGACCTGGTCAGAGAAAATGTTGACATGGATGGGCTAAAGGTGTAAAAAGCTGGAAATGCATTTTATCATTTCTGGTTCTAAGTGTACTAAATTAAAATGGTCTCTATTCCAATGTATTTATTTGTTTGTTTAGTACAACAATGTCCAGCACACAGCAAGGTAAGATGTAAAATGTCTAGTATCCAATAAAAAAAACGTAGGCATGCAAAAGCAGCAAAATAAGGAGAAAAATCAATCAAATCTGACCCAGATGATAAAATTAGTAGATAAGGACATTAAAACAATCTTTACAACTTTATTTCATATGTTCTAGAAGCTAGAGGAAAGGTTAGATGTGTTAAGTAGATACAAGGAAGACTTAAAAAAAACCGAAACACCCAGATTGAAGTTCTAGAGATGAAAACTACAATGTCAGAGACAAAAATACGTCAGACGACCGTCATGTTAGATATCAGTGAAGATTAGTGAACTTGATGACTTATCAATAGAAACTGTCCAAAACTAAGCAAAGAAAACACAAACTAATCTATTCTGCAGAAAGTGGAGCAGTGGATTTCTGGGGATGAACCTTAAGTGGGGGGTGAGTAGGGGCACGAGGAAGATTTTGGAGGTGATGGACGTGTTCCTTATCTTGGTTGTGGTGATGGTTTCCCATGTGTTTACATACATCAAAACGTATAAAATTGTACACTTTGACTGCGTGTGGTTTATTTTGTGTCAATCATATCTCCATAAACCTGTTACAAAACCAGTTTCCAAAGGTCGTATGGCTAATAAATTGCAATCTGGCTTCAGATGCTACACATGGAAGCACGACTTCATGCTGCCAGGTGGGTATTATTATTCTCGTTTTATAGATGAAAGAGGAAGGATCAGAGACGACGTGACTTCTCCAAGGTCACACAGCTGGTTAGTGACGGAGCTAGAATTTATACCCATGTCTGTTTTCCTCCAAATCAAGTGCTCTTTCTGTCCCACTCTCTCAGTTTTTGCTGTTTCTTTGAAGTCTGTAGACACCATGCACCAGCCCTGCTCTCCCACGGGACTCTGGGCGCCCTCCTCCTCACTCCACCCTGTTCCTCCAGACACAAAGCCTGCCCCGGATCCCAGTCCTCGCCCAGGGACCATCACTCAGCTGCTTACCTTCTACACCTGGAAACACAGGAACAGATCAGTTTGTAAATGCCTAGAAGAGAACAAGGCTCCCAGTCGTTGCCACTGCATCTTTGTGGACACGAGAGCTTGCCGGGCGCTTGCAAAGCAGCCCCTGGCTGTTTTACAGAAATAAGCGCTCTGAATCCAGACGAAGAGACCAGCATGCAGGCGGCCCCGAGCACCCAGAGAGCCCTTTCTCCTCTCTCATCTCTTTACAACATCTCAGTGAGCTCGGTCTTCTCCACCCTCCTCCTTCCTCTTTTTAGAGGAGGCAATGGATGCTGAAATTGGTTATGAGGCATGAAAAAACATAGATAACTGAGCCTGCATTCAAACTCATCCTTGTTGGGGGAGGGGGGGCTGCTTTGAACTCTAGATCTCTTTGAGGTCACGGCAGAGTGAACGTCTGACCACTTTTTTTCAATATAAGCACGAACTTTATACAGTCAGAGCTGGGGGGAAAAAAACCCCACCAAAAAACAGCAAAGAAAAACCCAGCCACCTGAGTTCCTGGAGTAGGGGGGGAGCTGTCTGTTACAAAAGGGGTTCCAGCGGAGGCCAGACGGCTGCTGTCAAGACCCCTGCATGGGATGGGGGCTGACCCTGACAATTTCTGAGGCCCCTTCCCAATCTGGTGGTCTCTGAGTAACAGGGGTGCTAGAACACCGGTGCTGTTATATGTGAGCTTGGGGGTGAAGGGGGATTTGTGTCCTGTGCCCCGTCCTGCCTAATTCAGCATTTCTCGACCACTGGACTGTGTCTCCTTGTGTGGGGCAAAGCTTTAATCACTCGGGGAAGTTGTTTTTGTTACAACTGAGAAAAGACGCCGCTCCATCTTGTCTGTGGGGTGGGACACGAGATGCAGAGCGGAGCAGGGCACCCCTCTCCGGGCACCCCAAGGACACACTGAGTGTTGATCTGAATTTTGTGACCTACAAATGTTGTGATATAAGACATATTAATTAAGCTTTCATTCTGTGTGCCAATTTTGGAATAATGAAATTCCCCTAAATCAAAAAAAAAAAAAACCATGGTGGAAAGAAGGATTTCTAAACTGGAAGGGGCTGGGATGAACTGGATCCTAGGTTTATGCTGTTGATTCGTAGGGGCACCTGTTTAGCAGGTAAACTGAAAGGACCCGTTTTCCAGGGTCAGGGTCTGTCTTGAACCATATGAGATCTTCAGGAACTGTCCCGTGCGTTGCCCTGTTAGGAGATAAGAAGTGAAGGCAACATTAAGCCAGGTTCAGGGAGGCTGTCTTTTCTGGAACACAGGAGAACCTGGCCTCCAGAGCAGCACAGCCCAATAGAAATATAACATGAACTACACATAGAATTTTAACTTTTCTCGTAGCCATATTGAAAGACGTTAAATAAAACAGGTAAAGTTAATTTTGATACTATGTTTTATTTAACCCAATAGATCCACAATGTCATTTCAACATGTCGTCAATAGAAAAAAATTACTTTTGAGATATTTTTACCTTCTTTCTTTTTTACTTAATTTTCAAAATCCCATGGGTGTTTTGTACTTAGAGTGCAGCTCAATTCAGAACGACCGCATTTCCAGTGCTCAAGAGCCCCATGTGGCTAGTGGCTACTGCACTGGAGATCGCAGGGCTTGCACATCTAAGGGCGCTAAAGAGGTTGACCTGGTGAGGGGCATAGTGGCAGGGGGTGGCTTGTCCCAGGAAACAGTGTGATAACCAGCTCCTTTAAGGATGCTCTGAAATGTCCTCCCACTCTGACTGCTGTCGTCTAGTAATTACTGCTCCCTTTATGTGACTCTTTTAAGTCTGGATCCCTCCAAGTGGCCTGCCCCCAACTCCACCCGACAAGACTGAGAACCACTGGATATAACATGGGACAAGTCCCAAGTCAGTTAGTTATTTTTTCTGATAAACTCCCCGTGTGTAGAACGGTGATAAACATGAACGCCAAGAGGATAAATGAGACAGCTGATGTGAGTTGTGTAATTTGATTTTTCTTATGAAGGGCTAAAATTATATTCCTCGTGGGGCCAGCCCCGTGGCTGAGTGATTAAATTCGCGGGCTCTGCTGCAGGCTGCCCAGTGTTTCGCTGGTTTGGATCCTGGGCGTGGACGTAGCACTGCTCATCAAGCCACATTGAGGCAGCGTCCCACATGCCACAACTAGAAGGACCCACAACTAAAAATCCGCAACTATGTACTGGGGGGCTTTGGGGAGAAAAAGCAGGAGAGAAAAAAAAAAAAAGAAGATTGGCAACAGTTGTTTGCTCAGGTGCCAATCTTAAAAAAAAAAAAAAAAAATTCTATTCCTCTGCTGTCTTGCTGGGTGTATGTCTGTGGATCATTATATTTCATCCTACCCTCAAAGCAGGCATCTGAACTTAAAGCAAGCGAAAACAAACCTAAACAAACAGACAATCCCCAAAGGAACTACGTGTATTTGTTGAACCTCCAACAAACCAAAACCAAATATTTTTTTAAAGTTTAATTGAGAATTGAACCAATCCCCAAAAAACAACAACAGAACAGATGGAAGACCCAGGGAGTCACCTCCAACCCGTCTGATGGTTTTTCCGCCCCTCCTTTTACCCCAGGCACAGATCCCAGTTCAGGTTCTCTGAAGCCATCACAGGGCTCCTGTCGAGGATGAAAAACCAATGCGTTTGGCTCCAGGGGACGGATGGAGCCATCAGCCAAATCGTCATTATTTTCTTACGACGTGGATGCAGGTGCCATGGAGCTTGTGTGTTTATTTTATCGAATGTGCAAAAATGAATCATTTCAGAGGGACTTCCAAGCTGCCAGGACGGGGCAAGCTGTCCTCAGTCAACTACCACAACGTGTCCAGGTACTCTGATTGCGAACTTGCTTGGAGAAAATTACCCTGAGCGACAATCCGTTCAGCAGCCTGTTACACTCTGGCATGCTCTGAATCAGATTAGTTTCCCTCCATTTGGATGATGGGCTATTACTCTGTACCTGGGCAAAGATACCAAACGCGGGTGTCGTAGAATATTTCACTCAATGCCATTTAATGAAGAGCAGTCAGAAAAGCTACACTCAATCTCCTTTGCTTGAACAACCAGTGGCACCCTCAAGGGCTAGACATTTGCAGGACTGGTCTATGGCGCTCTAGTGGAAAATTTCACAGGCTTGGGAGAGAGGCCAGACCCGGTTCATATCTAACTTTGCTCCTTACACTGTGTCTCAGCTTTTCCATCAGCAAAACAGAGTTAGTCATGGCTACCCAACAGGAGACCAATTAAGGTCATCTAAGTCACTTCTAGGCCTATAGAAGGTGCTCAGTAAACACTTCCCCTTTCCGGTTGCCAAGCCCAAATTCCCCTCCCCAAATGATCTCTGAAGCCATTGCTGGGTGTTTTCCAAATGGGACAGCGGATGATGAACTGGTTGATCCTACACCAGTGACGGCCAGCTTTATTACAGCAACCCTAGAAATGCTCCCCACAGGCTGGTGGCCAATAATCCAACCACTGCCCCACTAGAGAATTTCTGCTCTTGTCCCTAAATTAGGGGTAAGATACGGTCAGCTCCTGTGACTGTAATGTCAGGCTGTTCTCGGAGGCAGAGCGATCAGAAAATAATGAGGAATTAATGAGAGCTGTTTGTGAAGATGTATATATTACTGATTAACTCCTCGGGAAAAAAACAAAATCTAGAAGTAAAATAGTTGGTTTCCAGAGCCGGCACATTTAAAAGACTTTTTGGGGCCAGCCCGGTGGTGTAGTGGCTAAGTTTGCATGCTCCACTTTGGTGGCCTGGGGTTCACCACTTCAAATCCTGGGCATAGACCTACACACTGTTCATCAAGCCACGCTGTGGTGGCATCCCACATGTAAAATAGTGGAGGATCGGTACAGATGTTAGCTCAGGGCCAATCTTCCTCACCAAAAAAAAAACCACAAAAAACCAAAAAACCAAAAACCCAACCCAACCCCAAACCAAAACAAAAATAAATAAATAAATAAGAGACTTTTAGAACATACTGTAAAGATGAGCTCAGGACTATGCTACCAGCAGTGGATGAAAGTGCCCCATTCCTCACAGCCTCATTAAAACCAAATATTCCCATGTTTCATGTTTTCTAATATGAAACATGAAATGGTATAATGCTTAATTTTAAGGCTTTCTTGGACATTTTTTCCATCTGTCTATTGGCCAGTTGTGTTTCTTCTTTTTTGGTCATGTTTTCAGCCTAATGTTCTTTGGAGGTTAAGTTTTTCCTTATTGGTTTATAAAAAAATCTTTGTAATATAGATATATTAATTCTTTATCATATATGTAACAACCGTTTAGGCTTTCTTCCCCCAGTGTGTCGTTTGACTCTTAAGGTTTATTCTTCTTTGAAGGTTTATTTTCAAAATTGTCTAAAGAGTAATGAGCAATCATTTGTGCATCCAGTAAACATTTGCTGAATGCCAGGTATACGCCAGGCTCAGCGCCAGGCATTGGCATTAGAAGAGGAGAAAAGCCCAAATTTCTGCCCTCTAAGAGATCATAGCCTCGTGGGGAACAGACAGTTTTAAAGAGTGCCATCCACAGAAGGTGATAGCTGCTATAGCCAGGCACTGGGGACCATGGGAGCAGAGTAAGGGCATCCTAACCCAGCTGGGGGATGAGGATGGAAAGGAGGGAAGGCTTCATGGAGGTGGTGACATTAGAGTTGATTCTTAATTAGACAGAGCAAGGAGGACATTCTAGGAAGAGGAAAGAGCCTAGGCAAAGGTCCCAAGGCATCGAAGAGGCACCATCTTTTCAGAGATTCCAAATAATTCAGAGTCACTAAAGTTTGTGACATAATGGGATAAGGAGAAGCTCATTCAAGGAGAGAGATTTGACCTCAATGAAGTTGGATAAGTAGGCAAGGGACAGATCATAAAGGATAAGGAGCTGGAGGGTAAGTAACTAATGTCATCCTGAGGACCATGGGTTGCCACTGAAGTGTTCTGGGCTGGGAAGGGGCCAGAGTTAGGTATAAAGGTTAAGGCATAGGCTAGAAGCAAGCATCCAGTTCGCTGGGGCAATGAACCAAGCTGAGAAGGAAACTCCGTCTGACAGGGCAGGCATCTCTTCAATCTTCTCTAGCAGGGTTCTGGAATCAGCCGGGGTTGGACCTCTTTGTGTGCACCAGCCTTTGCGGGAAAGATGAGCTGCTTTGGGTGGTAGCCTGGAACCAGATTCAAGAGACATGGAAGAAGGCTGATCTCTTGGTCTCCCAGCCT